ATAGAATAATATTTTGGACAGGTTTATCACCTGATCGACTGTGCTTTGCCTCTTAATAACTACCTTAAACGTATTCTGTATCCACTTTGTGTTGATGCTTACACAGAAATTCCTTAGTTTCTTATCAAATTTATATCTTACTTGTTGTAAATGTATACCAGATAGCTTGAGCGCTATTATTTATAATTAAGAGAAATCCTTCAGGCTAATGGTGTTAGCCAATACTTGCTGTAATCTGGTCTCCTTCCTTATTAAAGAGTGCATTTTCATGTTTTGATCAATTCTAATTTTAACTAAATTATGGGATGTGCTCTAAATGTCTCACTTAGTTCTTTTGGTAAAGTTCGGTCTATCAATAATACAAAACATAGACACAACCCTATATGATAAAGAAACATAGAGAACTATCAATAGGGACGCGAAAGAAGGCCTGAAGGCTAGACTTAAGGGTTTATTGTCACAATTTGTTGAGATTGGGCAACTGAAAAAGTAGAAAAGGAGTGCACTTTTCCAGCGAGATGCTTAATAATGAGACTTCATAATTCATAAATAAGCTATTCCAGTCAGGGTCGTTGTAAATATTAGAGAAGGCAAAAGGCATAAAATATCACGATTTATTTGTCATAAGTAAGAGCAAATCTCCGAAATTCTGAAGTTTTCAATTATGAATTCTTAAGACTATGTAAAGTTATAAGATGAATAGCCGATAAAACAAGACGTTTTGCTTGTAAGCTTCAATGTAACATATATGCGCACTAATATTCTGATAAAGGTCTTCAGAGATAATTATATATCAACATCCAGAGTTCATAATTGATAAAAAGCTATGCAAAGATTCAATCACTAGATTGAAAAATTTAGTAATGAAAAGTACATATTTTGCCGTCAACGGTAAGTTATATGAACAAATACGATGCTTGGCTATGGGATCTTGTTTAGCTCCTACATTAGCTAATGATTATATGACTAAATTGAGGTTCGATTAATTCGATTTGCAGTCTTGGATCCAAAGCTATCTGTTGGGCATACGGACGACAACTTTGATATTTGGAGACACGGCCTAAATGGCATCGCTAAATTTACTATGAAGTTAGAAGATGAGGATAAGTTACTAACCCTAAATAGCCAAGAATATAGTAAGTAGAGCAGAGCTGTATATACAAAATCTATACATGCGTTTTCTTATTAACATCTGTTTAAATAATATATATAGGAATTATAGAAACGATGATAATAAGGAGCCTTCATCTGGTAGAATTATATCTCATTCAAAACAATTAGTAACTAGGATAAAAGATAATTACATTCAATATCAATTAAGAAATTGAGGCTTACTTGCTACTTAGGGCGAGATAGGCAAATAGAGCATCCGTGTATTTGTTGTAGTGTTAGTTAGCCAAAAATTTAGATAGGCTACTGAGGAAGCGAAATATCAGAATAATGATAATAATAATAAAACTAATATGCAAGAATTTTCTGACTCTCCTGCTGGATCAGTATGTCACAAGGCAACGTTTTATGTGAGGGTGACCTGTCGACCAGTCCAGAAGAGATTATCAGATTATCAGGTATGTGGCTTCACAAATCTGAACTCGCTGAACGCATGAACAATGCAGGATCTTCAATAGACTTCAAGGTTTTGTAGTTTAAGGGGGCTTTTGATCAAAGTGTAAGATTAGGTAATCTGTAAATATAAACAAAATAGCCAACACCCAGAATAGGATGGATTAATGTAGAAACTCGAATACTAATTATTTATGGCTGTTGAGTAACCTTAAATAGAGGAAGAAAAAGGGAAGTCAGGAAAAATCACTGAGCAAGAGAAGACCGGAATAGTCTCGAGTCTAGTTAAGGCTATTTTGTTTCACATGACTCGAACTATGCATAAATTCATTACACAATAACATAATTAAACACGACTCACCCTTAGAGGATCTTAAGCTGGTTTATTAAGGTAAAGAAACAGCTATTACCTCATTAATTAGGTTCATCTATCTGCAAGCACCTAGGGCAAGCTATAATAAGCAACCAAATCATAAGATACCTCATTGCGATAGCAAAATTAGGTATAAGAAGTGAGTAGTCTAATTTAGTTCCTGTCAATTTAGTTCCTGAGTTTAGTATTTTGGTCCGGTTTTTCGTAAATTATCGTTTCTCGCTCTGACACTGCTTTTCACATGACAGCCGAGAGGTTAGCCAGAGTTTATCAGAATTTCTGGACGTAGAGTCGAGGACTTCTTCGCACAATTTAACCGAATTCCCTCTAGAGCAATCCTCTTTCGGTTTTCGGTGAGATCAATACATAAAATTCTTTCCAAACAACTTTTCCTTCTATCTGAAAAATAGAGTCACATTAGATTTTTCATGCTTTCATAGCTTAAATTTTAACATTAATTGCTGGTAGAAGGGAGCCAATAATATTTTAACCACAAAGTTAGAAAGAATTGTCATCGAGTTGTTAATTCAAAGAAGTCATCGGAAGACCACCTCTAGATTCAGACGAATATACATAGAGCTTTCGTCTATCCTACCCTCAGAGATATATCCAGAGCGTATAATCACGTTTTCAAAAAGATGATCAGGCACCGCCTAGTCCCTACGGCTTGAATTCGTCTTTGACGATGTTCATCCCAGCACAGCCGAAAGCTCGGTTCTGAAAGCATCAGGGTCGAAGGACGGTGAATAAAAGGCTAGTTGCGATGACTCAACAGTCCTCTTTTGGTTTCAGGTGAGGCCGAGTTTGTCACATCTGCCAATTTTCTTTTCTTAAGTAATGCTATTTATTACAATATGCATTTATTAAGGGATTCTTTGACTTTGTGGAAGCTGTTTAAATACACACGCACACACATATATATACTCATTTCATAAAGCACAATCACACTTGCTAAAGGAGAAAGTGAATGTTAAACTTATCTTTCAGCTTTCCGGAATGTACAACTGAGATAAATTACTTATTTTGTCTGAAAGATACCTTGGATATATCATCCTCGCAAAGCATACTATAGAAAGTATTGACTGCAATGGCGATTTTTTCACTTCAGAAAAACTTTAATCAGTATTGCTAATCCTACAGCATTTATGCGATTTTATGAAGGTAGACTTGCGAGTTGTTGACATTTTTTTAAGACAAACTTCCTCAACTATCTATTCATTTATGTGTCCTAAATTATGATGATTAAGAAAAGCCTACGTTAAATTCATTTTGTATTCAGCTTTGATAATGAAATAATTAGTGCTTTGAGCTGCGTAAAGAGACTAGGGTAGTAATAAATAAGAATTAATAAGTTATAGTCTACATAAAAGTATTATAAACTCTAGCCGCGCTTACTGGACTATAAATAGAAAAAAAATCTTATTTTATGCATCTATAACAAATGCCTCCATCAGCTAGATAGACGGAAATAAAAAAATAAATTTTCTTTGTTAGAAGACATAAATGTTGCAAGGCCTAATAATCAAATTTTAGAATGAATATGTCACTAAAGTTCACTTAGCCTTGCCTCCCACAATGTTTTCTTATCCTAACTGAACTGCAGTTTCGACCTCGTCTCTGTCTGAGCTTATCAGCAACATTTACGGAATTTGGAACCGAGTTTATAGGAAAATGGGGTTAAAGGTTCCAGTCACCCTAATTCATATTGGGTGATAAAGGACTAATAGTTGAATTTTCCCACAATGAGATAGGTAGACCTTACGTTGCTGTTGTGAATTTAACTTGGTTTTACTCCTCAAAATGTATTATCACATATGGATGACTGGAATCTCGACCTGTTTGAAGTCTCATCAGCGCCCTCAGATGGAATCGAATTCGGGAAGTACGCCACACCACCTAGAGTGCTCCTGGGTTATCGGGTGGAAGTGAATATTAGGGAAGACCTCCCCATATCACATTTATAGTAGGATTGTTGATGAGTCAAACTTATATTTTAAGATAAAACTAGACTACGTTGTATATATTTAGAAAAAGTAGGTTTTCGGGACTATCAATAAATCTTTAATACGATTTTCATTTTAGAAAAATTCACTATCAACTCTTCATCAACTTATGCTGCCCAGAACAAGTGGAATGAGATTTACCGATAGCCTGAAAAACCTGTATTTTATGAATATACATGGAGATAGTTGATCACTTCGCCCCTCATCCACGAGTGTTAGTGTGCCCCAGAGGTGATGTGACTTTCAAGGCTGGCTAGGCCTCTCATATTTTCTTGTGTGACAGTTGATGATGCATATTTTTATTTGTCATCGCAATCAAGACTTTACCTTAATTGCATTGAGATTAGGCTTCGAGTTTCACTAGTCAGAGTAAGTAAAGCCTTTGAACTAGAATTGCAGATAGTCTTTAAATAATCGCTTTACAAGAATATTTCATGGGTCTTCGTTATGCATATCATAGTGGAAAAATTCAACTACCAGATTTTCATCACCTTAGACAAAATAGGGTAAATATATCTCATATAACTGATTTACTATTAGTCTAAAAACCCTACTTGAAATAAAAAATAAGTAATGTAGTCGATTGTCATAGCAACTATAATTTTGCTTCATCGACAATCCCACCATAGAATATATGGGAAACTGCCTGGCCTTCCTTGAAATTCACATCTGCCCTCTGATTCAAGGGAACTTGTGGCGATATGTCATAGTGATTAACATGTCGAGATTATACGCTACACTGCTATGATTCGAGACCTACTAGGAGTGTTGATAAGATCTGAGTGAAGCCGAAACTGCAGTCCTCCCTGTATGAAAACACCATTTTGGAAGGCAAGAACATGTAAAAGTCAATGGAAGCGTCAGCTCTACTCATATTATTGTAGAAAAATTCAACTACCAGTCCTTCATCATCTTAAAAGGAATAGGGCGAATACATCTCATATGTTTCGTGAGATGATGGGAAACAGTTCATCATTAATCTAAGGCTCACCCTTCCAAATGGGGTGTATACTGTCGAAACACGAGCAATCAAGACTTGTCGCGAACTGGCACACTTCGATTAGTGTTATACATGGTTGTTATTGCCACTCTATCTATCGACCTACTCATCATAGTCAGCAATGCTTGGTCTCTCAGGCTGTCTTGACTTGAATCTCTGCTCGACTGCTTGGCTATGTTCGGTGTCGATTTATACTGCTTTGTCAAAAATGAGAAATTCTGCTTCTGAGAAACCTCGGTTACCGGTCGGATGCAAACGTTCCGTCTCTGCGGCACATGATTCGGGTCTGTAACACATTCATGCAGTCTCAGCATGCCTGGCTCCTGTTCGCCCACATCAGAGATATTCTGTCTGATGATTTCAGAACAAGCGTCAGTCACCTTTCTAGACTTGCTAGCATCATGGCTCTTGATGTTGGCCAACCTCTCAGAATGATTGTCTTTTCTACGATCCACCTGGCGCTGGGTCCCCTGACTCGAGGCTCGCCTCAGTTCATAGCAATTGGGCTTTGCATGGCCGCTGGCCCCAACTTCTTTGGGGCAGAACTTCGGTTGAGGAGACCTCGAGTGAATCTGAACAATGCTGCAGGGCAGCTTGCGATTGTTCTCGTAGGACAACTTATGTGAAGAAGAAGATTGACGAATTTTCCTGCCATTCTGTAGGAAAGGAATAGGCAAGACGATATTAACAATGACTGATGTGGAGCAAAAACCAATTAAGAGCATCGCTGGCATAATTGCAAAACCTAGTCTGTACAAAACAACCCGCAGCTTGCAGTCACTCCTAAAGCCTACACTATCATTGGGTTGAGTCGTTTGTAATAAGTTGCTCCGTTCTATATACAAAGCAAATGTGGATTTCTAAGAATCTCCTGAGATAAGACTAATGTGAAGACTTTCATTTAGTAGGCAAGACGAGATTCATAGGTCAATCTCATCAGAAGATGTTGACTGATTCGCGTTGTACTACAACCGCATTGACTTAATAAGACGTTCAGATTGATGCAATCCACAAGGCATCCTCCAACATTTTGGGCGAATACGGACCGAGATTTCGTTGCCATGTGACGAACAGTGTCAGAGCTGTGACTCATTCTTGTAAAAGCCCCAAGTCAAGAATTTTAATCGGTTTTTTTTAATATGATATATATACTCATTTCGGGCAAAATGTATTGTACGTTTTTTTATCCACGTATACTCGAGTGTGTCTATGTGCATATTAATGTTAACCTCTGTGAGCAAAATCGGTACTAACTCAGAGTAATTAGAAAAAAGCTTAACGTCAGCTCCAGGTCATCAAGGCCAGGGAAAAAAGAAAAGGAAAACGAATGACCGAGATTTCCTTGGTCCGTTAGTAGGCCTGATTAACATGAGGAGAATTAGGTCTGTACATGTGAAAGTTAGATTACGAAGCCGCCAGTCCAAACCCGTTAGTCTGGGTTGTTATGGTTTTATGACCCAATGAGAATCTTGGCTGGGATTACGTAACCATGCATGCCAATTTTAGCTGATGAGCTTGAAATGTCTTTTGAATTAGTGATAATTTGATAAGAACCATCACTCATCTGACAAGTTGCGTCGTCTTCTTTTGGATCACAAGACATAGTATGTCTGCTACGAAATGCAAGATAAGAGAGGCTATTGGAATTACTAGATTAGGAAATATGTTTAATGTGAGGAATGATGATAGAGAAAGAAGTACTTATGCTTGATTGAAAGACTGAAAGAGACAGATAGTGTTGGGTCACCATCCAAAAGAACGCGACTCTACTAGTCAGCCCTAGTCTGCTTGCATTAAACAAATTCACACTCGTTCAACAGAAATGCAAAACTAATCAACAAAAACAGACATTTAGGGTTACGCAATACCAGCCAAGCTTCCCCTTGGGTTATAAAATCGTAGCAACCTAGACTAGTGGCTTCGTAACCTGACTTTAACGTGTACAGATTCAATTCTCATCAATTTAGCCAGGGTTACTAACGAACCAACGAAATCTCGGTCATCCGTTTTCCTTTTCTACTTTTCCTCGGCTCATTAGGCCTTGATGACCTGTGGCTGACGTTAACCTTTTCTCTAATTACTCTGAGTTAAGACCGATTTTGCTCACAGACGTTAACATAAATATACAACCAGACATACTCGAGAATACGTGAATAAAAAAAACGTTCCAAATTCATCTATATCTTAAATTTTGCCCGAAACGAGTATATACATCATATAGAAAAAAAACGGTTAGTATTTTTGACTTAGTGTTAACTTGAAACTTTTACAAGAATGAGTCACAGCTCTGACGCTGCTTGTCACATGTCGAGCGAAATCTCGGCCCGTTTTCGCTTGAAATGTTGGAGGATGTCTCGTAGACTGCATCAACCTGAGCGTCTTATTAAGTCCAAGCAGCTATAGTACAACGCGAATCAGTCAACATCTTCTGATGAGATTGACCTAAGAATCTCTTCAGCATGTACTTCCCATCAATAATTTGCTCCACATATCTCACTATCCAGATCTTTGTAGAGCTAGTCTGCCAGAGGCAAAGTGAATAGGAGGTTTGAGTATTCCAACAAACTTCGCTTATACCACTCAGCCCAGAAGGCAATGCTGCACTATAGTTTCAAGCCCACTCCGTTGACTCATCAGCACTGCCAACGAGTGTCTAACAATGAATATTTAAGTCCATGTTTAAAGATTCATGGACTTTATCCATGAATCTTACACCTTAGCTCCGGAAACGCATAATTTTTATTACTAAACTAGATCGTATGATTTATAAAAACGTACCTTTAGATGTAATTGACAAACCAAGGCTAAGAACTCTTTTTCGCGACACCACCAAACACGATACCAAGACTTAATTCAAACTAAAACACTGCTGCGGATCACCTTCATATGTTTTCATGCCATTTGATATAGGCCTTTCATTAAAATACATTACTTTTGCCACATCAACAGATCCAGAATTTCGTCTTACAGCAAAACTAGCATTCTTGGCACTTTTATGTTAACAAATGTCTTCTGTACATTTTTCTGTCCCGAGACCGGTCATAAATGGCAGATTTATGAGAGGAAAGAGAATGCACATGTACTAGACGATGAGAATGTGCAGGAGAAAATTCATTGCTTTCGCCATAGGTGATTTAAGTAATTATAGATAAATTTCCCCAAAATGCAAGGAGATAGCCTAACGATGCCAGTAAATTTCGATTAATTAGGTCGCCTAAGAGCTTTTCTTATCCAGAATTCTTTACAAAACAGCTCAAGTGCTTCTCAACTTCTGTCATTTTTGGAGGCGGTAAGCTCGATAATTATTTATGTATTTATAGCTTTAAAGAGTCCGAGTATTCTTAAGATTGGTCACATTAGATTGATCTCCTATAGAAATGATAGCTGCTTAGTACAAAATTCACCATAAATAGGAGTTAATCGAGACAGTCTTATTTACACTTTTATGTTAGGCAACTAGCACATATGATCTAAGCTGTAGCATATTTACCTCTTAAGCAAAATTCACATTGTTTGAAGCCTGTTGGGGATATTGAAGTGATCCAGACGTGGTCGAATCTGTTGTTGACCCTAGTTGATAAAACCTTTTTAGAGGCAAGTTAAGGTGAACTTCAATGGCAGCGTGTGGCCTGTCTAATTTACTTAAAATAAAC